AAAGGAAGGAGACAACTCTCGGCCAAACTCTTAACCGGTGAGGAGCGTATAATCCGTACAGTACTGCACGGAAAAATTGACCATTTTATCCACTACAATTGCATTGCTCAAATGTGCTGTTATTGATACCATTTACTGCTGAAAATATCAACGAGATGTTTATTTATATTTGAAGACATATTAATGGCTTTAACGTTTGTTTTCGACTCGCACTACTATTCATGATTGAACAAAACTTTTGATAGGTACTGTATAAAAAGGTATGTTTAATGAACAAGAGTCTAGAGTATGAGCTTTTTTCCTCCCTACCTACGATTTTGCTAGCGCGCATCCAAGACATTGGAAAGGGCACATCGCTAGAGAAAGTAAATGAAGTATACCTTTAAACCGAAAGAGATCTAGTTATATCCCTTCTACTTGCCACTGCGCATATCTCTGACATAGTTAGTGATACTTTGACCGAGTTGTATACTGTTACAGCATAGATTGCCGAGTTGGATTAAAAATTAGTTGAACTAGTTTGCTTGCTTTGTTTAAATTATAACATTGTAACAGTAATTATTTAGGATTATATGATTGATTTTGTATATTACTTAAGGTGTTCACGGCTAGTTAATAGTAGAAGAAATAAAGCACGAAAATAGTTTGAGTTTTTATGCAGTAAGTCGGATCAAGATGCAGTTTTCTGCATACGATTCGTGAGACCATTTACAAACATTGTAAAATAAGAGATCAATTTATCTTCAAAAATGCATCGGTGCATAAGAAAAATGCAGTCTTATATGTGCATTGGAAAGCTGTAATAAAAAAAAATGTAACTCGATCAATAATAATAAAAATAAGTCCAAATTTGTTACTTGGGGGTTTTAAGGGTCGCAGAACACGAATATGCAGCGACCCTGTCTCAGAGGTGCCTGGAACTCAGGGCAACCGTTATACGCGTCGTATCCAAGAGTTGTATTTTAAATTCATTAAAAATCAATTTAAATCGGTTACTCGGGTGACATTTCTCGAAACCCATTGTTGCGATAGCTGAGGATGCGTGAGATGCGGATTTTTTTCGCATCAGTAGTGATTATTGTGAAAATTCAAAAAACCATCTCTGTCGAAACCACTGACACAAATTCGCTCGCGGTTGAAAATCAGTTTCAAGTAAGTGCAAGTGTTACAAATAATAATGACAATAACAACAACAACAAGTTTAAAATTTGCTACATTGTCACATGAGGGAAGTCAACGTTCCGTGCTATTTTGCGTGCACTATTTTGGGGGTTGTCTTCTATGAAATTAAGGAGTTCATCTTCTAGAGCGGCAATATAGTTGAAATCCGTAAAAGGTATACTTCGTTTCGTTTCTGTAGCGATGTGACCTTCAGTTTGATCGGCGCAAAGTAGAAAAGAACAGCACTAGGCCAAAAAGAAAGAAGACAACTCTCGGCCAAAATTTTAATCGGTGAGGAACCTATAATCCGGGAAAAATTGACCATTTTATCCGCTAAAATTGCATTGCTCAAATGTGTTGTTATTGGTACCAATTACTACTGAAAATATCAACGAGATGTTTATTTATATTTGAAGACATATTAAAGGCTTTAACGCTTGTTTTCGACTCGCACTACTATTCATGATTGAACAAAACTTTTGGCAGGTACTGTATGAAAAAGTATGTTTAATGAACAAGAGTCGAGAGTATAATGAGCTTTTTTCTCCCTACCTACGATTTTGCCAGCGCGCATCCAAGACATTGGAAGGGG